GCTTTGATAACTGCTTTGCACACTCTTGGCATTGTTGCTGCAGCTTTGTTTATAGATGTTAGAGATCTGCCTGTTTTTCCAGTGTAGTCGTGTTTCTCTGACTGTGACTGGCTGGATGTGCTCTCTTCATCCTATGACATTGGAGTTGGCTCGGAGCTCGTCTGCCTGGCTGTGTGTTTCCTGGAAGGGGCCGCCTTTTGCAGCTGCTTTTTGTATCTTTGCTTCTGTCCCCTTGAACCCCAGTCGGCCTCAGCAGATGGCCGCTCACACTGAGCCTGGTTCTGTTGGAGGTTTCTTCCTGTTAAAAAGGAGTTTTTCCTCATCGCTGTCGCTACAAGCATGCTTAGTGTGAGGAACTGCATTCGAGTCAATGAGTCGATGCAATCAACTGGTTTTCCTTAGTTGGAAAACTTTTAATCAATTTGACTGGATGGTCTGGTGAACTGTATAGTGCTTTGAAATGAAATGTGTTGTGAATTGGTGCTATAAAAAAAAAAAATAATTGAATTGAAATTGAATTGCATTGTCTTGATGAGCTTCAAAAGGTAGTCACCTGAAATGGTTTTCACTTCACAGGTGCCCCCTGCTTGCCTTATAAATGGGGTTGGGACCATCAGTTATGTTGTGCAGAAGTCTGGTGGATACACAGCTGATAGTCCTACTGAATAGACTGTTTGAATTTGTATTATCGCACGAAAAAAGCAGCTAAGTAAAGAATAAAAGGGTGGCCATCATTGCTTTTAAAATGAAGGTCAGTCAGTCTGGAATATTGGCAAAATTTTGAAAGTGGCTTAGACAACATCAATAGTAATTTTGTATACACAGTGTGTACAAAATGAAATTTTGTTTTGTACAGCTTGCATGACATTTCCATTCCATAAAATGCAGTAGTGATAAAATGTAAACGGTGTGGGAGGAAAAACATGGTGCAAAAAACACATTGATATGGGAGTTCAGAGCATTAAATATATATGGTGCAAATATGCAGTGTTATGGTTGTCAGTGTGATGCAGAGTCTGTGAAATGATTTAGAGTTTTGAGATTTACAACACATTTTCAGCCTTTGTCTGCCGTTTATTTTTTAAAAGTAGATGCAGGAGTTAAAATTTGAAATTAAGGTCTAGAAATGTGAACTTTTTTTTTTTCTTTTGTAAAGGTAATCATTGCTGCTGAGCTGCTCAAAAGTGCGGATGAGCTGGTTAAGCAGAGGATTCACCCAACTTCTGTCATCAGTGGATACCGTTTGGCCTGCAAGTAAGACAAGCAAATCATGATTGAGACTTTCTTGAATGCAAATCAGGATGATCTTTAAAAATTCTTATTTTTGATCTTCCAGAGAGGCGGTGCGTTACATCAATGAAAATTTGACTATTGGGACAGATGATCTGGGAAGAGAGTGCTTAATCAACGCAGCGAAAACCTCCATGTCTTCCAAAATCATTGGAGTGTATCCTGATTATTTTATCGTTATTTTAAACTATGTTCTGATGTTTGACTGTAGTCTGAATGTGGAAACCAATTCAATGTCCTCTATGTTCCTTGACTGGGGGCCCTTAGTGATTCAGAATTCTTCGCTAACATAGTAGTTGATGCTGCCATGGCTGTTAAGTTTGTTGATGGCAAAGGAGTGGCCAAATACCCCATCAACTCTGTCAATGTGTTGAAGGCTCATGGCCGCAGCCAGAAAGAAAGCTTCCTGGTCAATGGATATGCAGTCAACTGCACAGTTGGTTCACAAGGTACGCATCTTTCTGACTCATCTGGAATATACGCAGTTTCATTAAACTCCCATTATTTTACTGCTATATCTTTGTTAGTGGTGTATGCAGTGATACGCGTGGGAGAAAGTAAACCGCTTTTAAACTTAAAAAAAGTCACAGTGGGATTGTTTACTGTGATTCTTTTTTAAAACCACACAAAAAAATCTGAAGCCAATCACCAACATACATAAAAATATACTTTTTTTTTTTTTTTTTTTCTGCTGTTGAATGTTTATATTTTATTCCAACAGAAATGGTGAAGCGTATTGTAAATGCTAAGATAGCCTGTCTAGACTTCAGCCTACAGAAAACCAAGATGAAGATGGGAGTCCAGGTCATCATCAATGACCCAGAAAAACTCGACCAGATCAGGCAGCGGTAGGTTATGGATCATACGCCTGTGTTTCCTTGCCTTAAAGAATAATCCCATTTTATTTTGCTGTGGTACTATTGCAATAGTTCTTACAGTGATACGCGTGGGAGAAAATATTATCTGCCACAAGTCAAGGCTGCAGCTTCTCTCTAAGCTGCAGGACCACTACTTTGAGCTGGACACAATTTAAGAACCCTAGTTTTCTTGTTTTATATTGTTAAATTCCACCTTCTCTCTGCTCTGGGTTCCCTGTAGGAATATTTGGATGTTAATTTGTGTATTTTGTTTGGTTTAGGGAATCTGACATCACCAAAGAGAGGATTCAGAAAATTTTGGCAGCTGGAGCTAATGTTGTACTGACCACTGGGGGCATTGATGATATGTGTCTGAAGTACTTTGTGGATAGTGGAGCCATGGCAGTGAGGCGGGTTCTCAAGAGGGACCTTAAACGCATCGCAAAAGCAACAGGAGGTAGGAATAGAGCATTTTGTCCTGTTTGTGTTGATGTCCTTAAATGAAGAAGAAACAATAAAATTTGACTTTTTTTTTTTTTTTTGCGTGTATTTTAGCCACCGTCTGCCCCTCCCTCTCCAATCTGGAAGGAGAAGAAACATTTGAAGCCACTATGCTCGGCCAGGCTGAGGAGGTTGTCCAGGAGAGAATTTGCGATGATGAGCTCATCCTGATCAAGAAGTAAGAACTGCTGCAGTCTCACATAGCTCTGGGCTGTGGTTTAAAATGGCACTAATTAGTAAAAAGTTAAACCTTTACATTGATCTGAGGTGTTTTTTGAAAACTTGATAAGTAAATATTTGTATACACATTTAGAGTTGTACTTTTATGATACAAATTATTCCGTACTGATGTTATATTTTGTTAATTTGTTAAAATGATATAAAAATTAGAAGATTCTAATTTTTAGCTGGGAAGGAAAGGATATCCTTTTTACTATCGATGCTGTTTTCTCTCCATTAGTACAAAAGCACGCACATCAGCCTCCATCATTTTGCGTGGAGCTAACGACTTCATGTGTGACGAAATGGAGCGTTCAGTGCATGATGCTCTCTGCGTGGTCAAGCGGGTCCTTGAGTCTAAGTCTGTTGTACCAGGAGGGGGCGCTGTCGAGGCAGCACTGTCAATTTACCTGGAAAACTATGCTACCAGCATGGTAGGTTTATAAAATCTTCATGTGTAAGGCTTCCTTTAGAGAGAGTAAATCAAAGTTTTAAACATAATTTGTTTTTAGGGTTCCAGAGAGCAGCTGGCCATTGCTGAGTTTGCAAGGTCTCTTCTCATCATACCCAAGACTCTGGCTGTGAATGCAGCCCAGGACTCCACAGACCTGGTGGCCAAGCTGAGGGCTTTCCATAATGAAGCTCAGGTCAACCCTGAGCGCAAGAACCTGAAATGGTGAGTTTAGTATTTGATGGGGTGCAGAACCTAACCGGCTGAATGCAGGGTCCCTACAGTTTGCATAGGTATAAAATGTACTGACCCAAATTATTTACCATTCTAGGCTTCCAGACCTATGAAATTCACTAGTTTGTAACAGCTCTGATATCCAACAAGCACACAGTTTAGGACACTGTTCTTTATTTTAGGCTGAATTCAGGGACATGATGAAGCAAAAATGTAAACAAAGGTCAATTAACATTCTCAGATATGGTTTCTGCAGCGCTTATATTTGAGGAACTGGAGCAGATCTCACAGATGGTGGATATTTACACTACATTTAAGCGCCCAGTACTGATTGTGAAAGAGGATTTAATTTAATGAAGCATAAACCTAAGCAGCATCCAGAAAGTTCTTAAAGAGGCATATTTGGACAGTTGGAGAAGCATAGATTTGGAAAAAAGATACATTTAAGTCAGATTTGTTCACATTCTAGTAACATTGTGTTTTTATTTATGGTTTTTAATCATTAAATGCTTTAGCTATTTAATTTATACTCATGCAAAAACCGGTATAGAGTTACAGGGAGAGACAAAGAAGTACAAGGAATTATACTATAAAACAAGCTTCAGCACATATTTCATTGTGCAGAATGTGAATGCCTTGATGTGAACAAAAACGTATGCCCAAAAGGTTTTAAGTCTAATTTCGGCTAGAACAGGACCCTGAATCTGACCAAAGCTTGACTCGGCATGCTACACATCTTATGTACAAAAAGTTGTTTTTGTTTATTTTTCCATTTTAAGTGGCAGAGTTGTTTAACTTAAAAGTAAACTAATGGAAATTGCTGCTGTAATAATATTTTTATAAGCCACGTAACTTGCTATGATATATAAATTTTCCCTCAATTTGCACATGTGATGTTGCTCACAGTGGTCCTCATTGTGCTGAGGAGGCTTGTATGTATTTACAAAACCATGAAAAATGAAACATTAGTGTTGACATGTGTAGAATAATGTAGTTTTTATTGAATAGATTTTCTATTGTTGCGGATTTACGTTAAGATAATCTTGTCTATAATTCTGTAGGATCGGCCTGGACTTGGTGAACGGCAAACCAAGGGACAACCGTCAGGCTGGAGTGTATGAACCCACCATGGTCAAGACAAAAAGCCTGAAGTTTGCCACTGAGGCTGCCATCACCATCCTGCGTATCGACGACCTCATCAAACTGTTCCCAGAGCCAAAAGAAGGCGGAAAGTCCTATAGAGATGCTGTAGAATCTGGATCTCTAGAAGGTTGAAATCTTTGCCGGTCACTGTAGGTTTACTGCCTGTATTTATGTTTCTGAGCTCTTCGTGGCCGCTAGCATAGGCCATGCATTCTGCATTTCTCTCACTCCCATCACTTATGAGGTTCATTATTCCAAAGGAACTGTTAGTGACTGTTTTGTTTCAGACAAAAATAAAGCTTCAGTGGTTGTAAATGAGTGTTTATTCATTATTAGCTGCAATTACAGTAAAGCTTAAACATTTTCAGGAAAGCACTAGATTAAAGAATGTGGTTAAATATGGCTCTTATGATTTAATTTTCCCTGCAAGATGTTTTCATCACACAAGTACATATTGGAATGTAAACCTTGCTAATAAATGCTTAAAACAAAACTTTAACATTTTAAACATCAATGCAAGACAGCTTTGTTTTGAAAGCTAAACATAATGTTTTCTGTTGCCTAAAGATAATTTAGCACTTTTTGCCTGCATAATGGATTAATGATGTACTTGCTAGTTAAGACAGAAATTAATATTCACAGTGATGATAGCTTTTAGGGAGGTTACTCTGGCATTTTTAGATTTTACTTAACAGTGTAAACATTTCATTATCCCTTAATTGTTAGCAAACTTAAATCAAGTGCAATTAAGATTAATTAGGTTGATGTTTCAAACCCTTTCCACACACATGGCAACACCCATCCCTCCTCCAATGCAAAGTGAGGCCACACCCTTCCTGCCTCCAGTCCTGTTTAAAGCATGTAGTAAAGTCACCAGGACTCGGCAACCAGACATGCCAATAGGATGGCCCAAAGAAATAGCCCCACCGCTCACATTCACCTGTGGAACGGGGAAAAAAAAAAAAAAAATGCCAGAACTTCTTTGAAGGACAAACATTTAGAGATGGTTAAGAAAATATGGATTTGAACATCCTGCTATTTTGCAAGTTCTCCCACTTAGAAATCATGGAGGGGTTTGAAATTGTCTTCGTAGGTGCATGTCCACTGTGACAGACATAATCTTAAAAAAAAAAAAAAAACAATCCTGAAATCATTATGATTTTTTAACTGCGTGTGATACAGCTGCAAAAAGGTATTTGAACACCAGTCTATCAGCTAGAATTCTGACCTTCAAAGACCCGTTAGTTGTCCTTCAAAAGGTCCACCTCCATTTATTATCCTAAATTAGATGCACCTGCTTGAAGTCGTTCGCTGCATAGACACTTGTCCACCCCATACAATCGGTAAGAATCCAACTACTAACATGGCCAAGATCAAAGAGCTGCCCAAAGACAAAATTGTTCACCTCCACAAGGCTGGTAATTGTTGGAGCAATCATCGGAAAATGGACGAAGCTAAACATGACAATCTCCCTCGGACTGGGCTCCATGCAAGATCTCACCTCTTGGGGTCTCTGTGATCCTAAGAGAGGCAAAAAATCAGCCTCCAACTACACGGGAGGAGCTGGTCAATGACCTGAAAAGAGCCTGGACCACTGTTTCCAATATTACTGTTGGTAATTCACTGAGTGTGATATCTGCATGGCATGGTAGATCCCCTGCTTAAACGAGCATATGTCAAGGCCTGCTAATGACCATTTGGATGATCCAGAGTAGTAGAGAGGAATGGGTCAAAATCCCTCCTGTAGTGTGTGCAAACCTGTTGAAAAACTACAGGCAACATTTGACCTCTGGAATTGCAAACAAAGGCTACTCTACTGTACCAAATATTAACATTAATTTTCTCAGGTGTTCAAATACCGGTGTATGATACAGGTGTGAATCTGTATCATACATTGTGATTTGTGGATTTTTTTTTTTTTTTTTTTACCTTAGATTGTGTCTCTCACAGTGGACATGCAACTTCGATGTCAATTTCAGACCCCTCCTTATTTCTAAGTGTGAGAACTTGCAAAATAGCAGGGTGTTCAAATACTTATTTCACTCACTAAAGACTGCAGGATAAATACGTATTGCAAACCAGGAAGACAAACAATTGGTCTTTAAGGTTTAGAACGATGTGATTGCATTATATGCATAATAATGTATTTTATGCTAAAACCAAGAAAATTTCATATAGCCAGTAATGAGAGCAGAGTTGCATATTCCTAGAGTACAGGTGCTGGTCATAAAATTAGAATATCATGAAAAAGTAGATTGATTTCAGTAATTCCATTTAAAAAGTGAAACTTGTATATTATATTCATACATTACATACAAACTCATATATTTCAGATGTTTATTTTGTTTAATTTTGATGATTACAAATGACAACAAATGAAAATCTCAAATTCATCATATCAGAAAATTAGAATATTGTGAAAAGGTTCAAAATTGATGGCCCCTGGTGCCACACTCTAATCAGCTAATTAACTCAAACCACCTGCAAAAGCCTTTAAATGGTCTTTCAGTCTAGTTCTATAGGCTACACAATCATGGGGAAGACTGCTGACTTGACAGTTGTCCAAAAGACGACCATCGACACCTTGCACAAGGAGGGCAAGACACAAAAGGTCATCGCTAAAGAGGCTGGCTGTTCACAGAGCTCAGTGTCCAAGCACATTAATAGAGAGGCGAAGGGAAGGAAAAGATGTGGTTGAAAAAAGTGTACAAGCAAGAGAGATAACCGCACCCTGGAGAGGATTGTGAAACAAAACCCATTCAAAAATGTGGGGGAGATTCACAAAGAGTGGACTGCAGCTGGAGTGAGTGCTTCAAGAACCACCACACACAGACGTATGAAAGACATGGGTTTCTGCTGTCGCATTCCTTGTGTCAAGCCACTCTTGAACCACAGACAGCGTCAGAAGCGTCTTGCCTGGGCTAAAGAGAAACAGGACTGGACTGCTGGTGAGTGGTCCAAAGTCATGTTCTCTGATGAAAGTAAATTTTGCATTTCCTTTGGAAATCAAGGTCCCAGAGTCTGGAGGAAAAGAAGAGAGGCACTTCATCCACGTTGCTTGAAGTCCAGTGTAAAGTTTCCACAGTCAGTGATGGTTTGGGGTGCCATGTCATCTGCTGGTGTTGGTCCATTGTGTTTTCTGAGGTCCAGGGTCAACGCAGCCACATACCAGGAAGTTTTAGAGCACTTCATGCTTCCTGCAGCTGACCAACTTTTTGGAGATGCAGATTTCATTTTCCAACAGGACTTGGCACCTGCACACAGTGCCAAAGCTACCAGTACCTGGTTGAAGGACCATGGTATCCCTGTTCTTAATTGGCCAGCAAACTCTCCTGACCTTAACCCCATAGAAAATCTATGGGGTATTGTGAAGAAGAAGATGCAATACACCAGACCCAACAATTCAGAAGAGCTAAAAGCCACTATTAGAGCAACCTGGGCTATCATAACACCTGAGCAGTGCCACAGACTGATCGACTCCATGCCACGCGGCATTGCTGCAGTAATACAGGCCAAAGGAGGCCCAACTAAATACTGAGTGCTGTACATGCTCATACTTTTCATGTTCATACTTTTCAGTTGGCCAACATTTCTATAAATCCTTTGTTTTTATTGGTCTTCAGTAATATTCTAATTTTCTGATATGATGAATTTGAGATTTTCATTTGTTGTCATTTGTAATCATCAAAATTAAACAAAATAAACATCTGAAATATATGAGTTTGTATGTAATGTATGAATATAATATACAAGTTTCACTTTTTAAATGGAATTACTGAAATCAATCTACTTTTTCATGATATTCTAATTTTATGACCAGCACCTGTAGACCTACTAGATGCTCTAATGATACTCCAGTCCACAGAAGGATTGTAAAGTACATCAAACATGAAACAGTATTGTCAATCTGTTTGGTACTGTTCAGGGAGGAATGTTCCTTCAAGGACAACACGCAACAGCAGCTAATTTAAAGAGCCCTTCTGTCTATATTTATCTAGTGTATACATAGATTTTAATGCAAAAATTTTTATTATTTATAATTAGACAACAAACTACAAGCTTTTTCTTCATGTTCCATAAATACAGAATATTGCATTTGTCATTTGATAGTGAAGGATATTGTTTTAACGCCACATTGTAAAACCGCAATTTCTTTCTAGACCTTAAATATGTAAAAAAAAAAAAACAGGTTAGAAATAGAGCTATAAAAGGTTCATCAATACATATAAACTCATAAATCCTTATTTCCACATGTTGATCCTACACACTATCATATATGTATTCTGAATGCTGAATACCAGGAATCATTTTATAAGAAATCACAAGATGGTTGTAAAAAGCAAACCATTGTGACATAAAACTTTAGCCTGTTACCTTGTCCTCCTTTAAGCCGAGCTCCTTAATCACAGCAAGGGACTGTGCAGCAAAAGCTTCATTGATTTCATATAAATCAACCTGATCCAGCTGCCAGCCTGCTTTCTCCACCTAAAGGGGAGAAAGAGTAACTTGGACTGTAGAAGTTGCATAATGAAAAAAAAAAGACTCAATATGATTTAGCGCTCTGATATCTCACCGCTTTCCTGATAGCTGGTATTGGCCCGGTGCCCATGACAGACGGGTCAAGGCCTACCTGAGCCCACGAGACAATTTTAGCCATGGGTTTTACTCCCCGCCTCGCAGCCTCTGATTGGCTCATCAAAACAGTAGCTGCAGCTCCGTCATTTATTCCTGTTTAAATAGTATTATTTTAATCCATGTGTAAAAAAGGAACCCATCTTGTTGATGGTTCATTAGTGAGTGGAACCTGAAGCGTTTCCAGCTGTGACGGTGCCACTGCTGTCCTTAACGAAGCATGGCCTGAGTTTGGACATGCTGGCAATGTTGCTTCCATGTCGAGGGAACTCGTCCGTTTTCACCTCAACGGGACCTGAAGGGGAGAGCAGGATTTGTTATTTAAAGATAATTAAAGAGGCAAATTTGTCACTAAGAGACTGAAGAAGTCCTTTACCCTTTCTGGATGGCACTGTGATGGGGACAATCTCCTGATCAAAATGTCCCGCCTTCTGCGCAGCCTCCGTTTTGTTTTGAGAACTGACAGCAAAAACGTCCTGCTGCTCTCGGCTGATTGCCCACTGCTTTGCAACATTTTCAGCTAAGATGGAACAATGATCAATGTCAAAATTCATCAGTATAACAAAGAAAAAACAAAAAAAAACAGAGAGGTTTAACTACTGCAGAGAATAATACCTGTGATTCCCATGTGGTAGCTGTGGAAGGCATCCGTCAAGCCATCGGCAACCATAGAGTCCTGCAGTGAAACGTCGCCCATCTTCACTCCTGCTCTCATTTGCAGAGTGTGAGGAGCCTGAGTATAGACAAAGGAGGCCATTGGTTTTATCCTCGCACAAAGATTCAAACCCACTTAAAGTTTTTCACATTTCTTCATGTTAGTCACAATTAAAAATGTACTGTATTTTGTTGTAGTTTATGTGAAAAACAGAGGAGTGTATCAAGGTAAAAAAAGATGAAACAGTCTGTGTTTGTAAAATGTCTTTAAAATTCACCAAGAAAAGCAAATCTTTATTATAATACCACTAAATAAAATCAAGTGACACAGTTTCTCCACAGAGGTAGTTTATAAAGCAGTAGCCCGAGTTCTGGACATCTCAGAGTTTAGTTCAAATTCTCAAAAATGGAAAACTAAATCAGATCTAGCTCCGTATTGAATGGATGCTCTAAAAGATATTTTTTTCTCCAAATGTGCATGACTTTATGTTGTTTATTCTAAGTGTAATGATGCTAATATGAGAAACCTTTAGAAGTGTAAAGGGTAAAAACGATTTAAAGGGTCTGTACATTTATTTTTCTCCACAACTTTTTTCGTGTTACCAACCCTGCTCATGCTCTCCATACCCCCTGCTACTACCACAGAGGACTCTCCAGCCTGGATGGACTGAGCTCCCAGACACACAGCTTTGAGCCCAGAACCACACACCATCTGACAGCTCCAGGCAGGGACAGAGTATGGGATACCAGCTGCAACACTGGCCTGACGGGCTGGGTTCTGCCCTTGACCTAAAAGAGAAGGTTTATATTAATGTGGGAAACAATACAGCAAGATAAGTAGAGATAAAAAAAAAGAGTATAACCTGTTACACAATAACCTTTAAAAATATAAATGGATTAACATTTACCTGCTGTGAGGACATGTCCAATGATAACCTCAGAGACCTCATTTGGTTTCACCTCAGCCCGCTTTAGAACATCCTTTATCACTGGCGAGCACAGGTCACTCAGAGTCAGGGTGGACAGAGCGCCACTCAGGCAGCCTGTATGAGACAATTTGTTACAATGTTTTCTATTTTAGATCTATTTTCAGTTTAATACAAAAAAAAATCTTTTGACACAGACATGTTTTGTATCAGTCTTAGAGACAAAATGTTCCCTGTGTTGCCGTTTCTGATAATGGACTCATGCTGTGTCTGTGTTCACTCACTTTTGGAACTGTTATATTAGGGAATTACATTTTATCTATCTTTACACTCTGACATATTGGTGTTACATTGCTTCCTAATTGTTGATGTATCAGTAAGAATACTAAAATTAAAAAACATAAAGGGGGTTTAAACAATATATTTTTGAACAACCTGTTTTTCTTTCTGTTTGGAGTTTTTTAAATACAAATTTCATCTGCTTGGTTTAGTCTCTAAATCCAATTAATCATGATTAAAGATCCAGGTATATATATATATATATATATATATATATATATATATATATATATATATATATATATATATATATATATATATATATGCCAGTTTCCACTCAGGAAAGCCATGCTTATAACCTTTTAAAAAAAAATACAGTCGCTAATTGATTTTAATTCCATAAACCACTTTTATCTAACAGTATGCAGTTACAAATAATTGAATGAGGAATCTGGAAAAAACGCCAAACTGGATGTCGCCTCACGTCATTTATTCAGTAGCCAATAGGAGTAGGCTCGTGTTGAATCGCACTACGGCTATCAGCCAATGAAATGTCTAGGATTACTTGAAGATCAAAAGCCAACCAATCAAAATTCACCAGGAACCCTGCGCGTTTATGTGGAGGACAGAACCAGTTGTTTAATTAATACATGTCAAAGGAATAACTTTATCCATACAGCATTCAGTATAAAAATGTACATATTATATAACCCGAAATCTCAATAAATAGTTAGAATATTTGTACAGCTTGTTAAGCAGCAGCATGATGTTAAAATGTAACAAATGAATAGTTACAGTGTATGAAAGTCTTGCTTTACTACATGATTCTGGCACTTAAAGGTGTTCGGGATTTACCTATTGGAGTCCGAGCGGCAGAAACGATAACAACAGGTTCGGTGTTCATCCTGAAAGACGCCGGTCTGAAGCTGAAGTCCTTGCTTCTTTCTATTCCTGTCCACTAACACACAGCTCTGTTGACACTGCATGGACGTTTAAATAGGGGGTGTACAGATGGAACCCAAGGAAATAATAGCGCCCCCTTCTGTTTAGGAGGACGATAAGCACTCAAAGGTTTGCAAAACGAGAAATGCAATAAAGAGGTCAACATTTTCCCTTTTTTTTTTTATAATCTCAATTCGTTGATTAGCATGCAAAAAACAATACGAAAGAAATGTTTTAAAATTAAAAATATGCCAAAATAGAAATATTTCTATAGAATAGATTTAGATTTTGCTGCTAGAGAAACAGTTTTATAAGGTCTTAAAACTACTGTATTTATGTATTCAAAAGGCGGGGCTAATACATATCATTAATTGGTCTGTAGGTTACCAAGGTAACCCAAGTAAGGGTTTAATTATTTCATAGTACAAGAAATCAAATACAAAAAAAATTATCTCCCCCAAAATAGAGTTTGAAAAATATTAATCAATACATTTAATATGTAAACTAAAGGGGATATCAAACATCCATTGATTTATTATTTGCATCCTTATTGACAATCATTTGTGGCAATAAAATGAAAATCACAATCTGTCATATATTTAGAAAAAAATAAGTATTATTTCTAACTACACAAAAATCTGAGCTCTAAATATCTAATGTAATTCTTTTAAAAAGGAACATAAAAAAAATAAAAATGTACTTCTCTACTTCTTTCATATCAGTTCATTATTCTTATTTCCATTTCCTATCATTAGTTTATACTTTGAAAACTTTGATTCTAGTTCACTGGTTGTTAATAATTGGTTTCACTCTATAGTATTAAAAATCTTTATTTTGAATTTGGTCAGTACATGAAAAGGGCTGAAGAATAATATGGACATCGCATATAAACTACTTACATTTTAACAGAACTCTCAAAACAGATTTTTTTTTTGCCAATGAAAATAAAAACTGTTCTAAAAAAAACAAAAGAAAAAAAAAAAAACACAGGCCAACATCTTAAAATGCACTCCTTGAGTATTGAGAACCTAGTGGAATTTAGTGATTTTTACTGACTTGACGCGTTACAACACCAGACGGCCTGATTTCAGTGTTAACAGCTTAACAGTATAGCTGTGCTCAAATAAACAGTGAAATGTAATAGTCTGAAATCATACACCCACGCAATTTAAATCTAACATCAATCCTGTTTACATCCCCATTAAGCAACACAAATGTGACAAAGGCATCACAACAGGCAAAGGGACAACGGTGGAAAACTTTCTTGGACAACGGAGCTGCGTTACAGACTATGAATTTGCTGCCTTGTTTTATACTGTATAAAAAAAAGAAAAAAAATATAGAACACATTAAAGTACATTACAAAACTGCACCATCACTTGTGTTGGAGTCCAGGCCGTTCTGGGCATGACGTGACCCTGCAGTCCTGGTGCCCTTGGTCACCAGGGCAGCCTTGTCCTCGTTGGGATCGGTGGTGGAGTCTGTGTCATTCGAGTGTTGAGTGAATGATGTCTCGCTGCCAGTTGGAGAGTCCACGCTCTCATACCCTGCGCTTAGCTGACTCCTGAATCCGGCAGGTCCTCCAGCTCTACCGGAGACAGTTTGACTTCCTGGCGCCTCCTCTGAGTGGTTGGGACGTTTGGTCTCTGTGTCACCGGGGCTGGAGGCCACAGGGGACATTGGAAAGTCTTCTTCGGCACTGCTGACCTCTCTGTACAGGCTAGGTGTAGTGGTCTCACTCCTTTGGGACGAGCTACTGTTTCTTGGACCATTGGAGACCCTCCCGTAGTCTTTGCCTCCTTGTTCAGATGAAGCGCCGGCCTGTTCTGGCTGAGTAGAGGGTTCTGCAGATGAGCTGGAAGCAGTGGGTGAAGTCCTACTGGGGCCTGCTCCAGCTGATGTGCCCTGAGATTGAGCGAGCAGCTGGCGGGATTCTTTCAACTGTTGCTGCAGGACAAGGATGGTGCTCTGCATCCCTTCTACCTCCTCATCAAGCTGGATGATGAAGTCATTTAGCTCTGGAAGTGACGATACAAAAACTGAATTCATTTCAACGCAAAATAGACCAAACAGATAGAGAGATGTTACTTTCTCTTACCATCTTGACTGCTCTTGAGTTCTTCGCTGTACTTCTTCTGTAAGGCCAGCTCAGCCTCCAGCTGGGCGATTCGTCCCTGGGATAGCTGCCGGCCCAACTCCTGGTTTTCCTGAATCAGCATCCGACATTTGGCCATCAGTTTCTTCCCTGTCTGGCTGCAAGGGAAACAAGTCTCACATCACACAGTGAACAAGGAGACAAAGATAAAAGGCAGGCAGACACTGATGACTTGTTCCCTCTGCCTGGAATTAAACAGAAACTCCTCAGTCTCTCAAAAACCACATCACTAATCAACCCTAGTATTTCAAATCTGCCGCCTTTGAAATAGTAAACATGAATGGAAAATTTGATTTGGAATACATATCCATGAGAACCATTTTGGTAAAATGGTCTGAACTTAAAATCAGTAGAAAAAAAGAAAAGAAAAAAAAGACTCCCTGATCTAAATACTTAAAAAAAAATAACATTTAAAAAAGAACAAAGAAAGAATAATAAAGAACTATTTCAGTGACCTGTTAGAGTCTACCTGAACTTACCATGATACACATGGATCAAAGATCAACATTTTACAAGGCAAGTAAGAGAACAGTGGCTTTTAAATATTATACCCTTCCAACATAACTGGAACTGCTTTAGCAGTCATTAGAGCAATGTCACAGGGCATTATATCCACACAAAACACTAAACCTTTAAATAAATCGATACTAGACAGAAAATGTGCACAGAAAAGTGTTGCACAGATTCTGTGGAGAATTTACTTTGAGGCAAAACAATAAAAATGTTAACATCACAATCAACCAGCCAGACGTCGGTCCAACAACAGATCAATGAGAAGTAGAATGTTATAGATTCAGTTGTGACCTTTTGTTAAAAACACCTTAATGATAACTGCACCAGTTATCTAAAGTCATATTACTGCATAAGCTTTAACACTTATATGCCTTTTGTATTGTAAACAGGAATAAGAAATAGAGTAACAACTTTATCCAATGATAAACATTTAGATAAAACACCAAAGACTTATTCCTAATGAATAATAAATCTAGAATTATATATTTTACATCAAAACCTGAGTGCATTAACTGAAATGTTCTTGTTTTTCTTCATATTATTAAAAATACACTGCCAACTTTAACCAAGAGCTGCATTAAAATTAGAAATTCAAGAACATGCAATACAACTGATGAATATTACTAAACTGATCCTAACTGCTAATTACCAGCATTTTTCCCCCCATCACAATAATCAACAAACCACTATCCCTGAGTTGTGACATTTAGGCTAATTAAATCTATATCAAATGTTAATCCAACTGGTTAGAATAAATATAAATCTCCCTATCAAATGCAGCATTGAAGCAGTTCTCAGTAACTATTGCACACCTTAAAAATGCAAAGTTGGTTGTGACTGAAAACCAGTTGTGCAGCTCTAATTCAAGCCCTGCTTTTAGTAAAGTCCCTTTTTAAGTCTGAAAAGAAAATGGTATGATAGCTTCACTCCATAAACACAAGTTAAAATACCTGAGCCACATGTTGAAGACAGTTATTTTCTAAGCTGTGGAGGAAAATATTTTGTTAAGCACAAGAGTACACAATACAAAACAATACACCCGCTTTAACTGAGAACATGCATCCTGCAGGACATTTGCACTGACAGTTTGACAACAGGACTTAGAACACCTACAGAGGCGTGTTTCTGAACACCTGATCTGAAAATTTACACAAGAGTAAATGATGAAGACCAATCGCGCCTCTTGGTTTCAACACACACTGCTGTGTTTGCTATAAAGAAATGAGAGATCAAATTAAATAGCAAGGAAAATAAACAATTCACAAAATAAAACATTTAAATAAACTCTACCGTGTAGCGGCCCGTGTGGGCGAATGGACCTTCATGCCTTAACCATAGTCCCTTTGTGGACCGAGGATCTGGCTCCGCTCACAGTCTTATATCAGTTCTAGTGTCTCTTCCCCAGAAGTCTTACTTTTAATCCTAGTGACTTTCCTCATATGAATGGAATGTATCTAGACTGTCCAAAAGTCTTTACATTTCACAGAAAGGCTATCAGGTATTTGTGTGATGTGGTCCACTGTTAAATGTCTTTACAAAACCAAGTATGGAAGTTTTCTTTAAAATGTTCAATTCATGTTTTAGGCTAGGGATGCTCCCCGCCTGACATGACCTCCCCCATATGCCCCTTATTTTAAATGTGAACTGTCTGGTTTTGAGCTGAGGGGTCGGGAAGGGATCATCCTGTGCGGGCAGTGAGCGACCACCTCTTCGGAACAGTCCGGACTCCTTCAGGCCCTCGGACGGTGAGGGAAGAGAGCTGAAACACAAGTGTCACCTGACCATACTGTCTTTCCTCTTTAGCTTATGTGAAATGTAGCTGGCACAGTACAAGAGAACAAAAGCAGTTTTTTTTTTTTTTTTTTTTTTTTTTTGCAGTGACTGGCTTTCTGTAAAGTCTGAGTCTTGTGACGAGTACAGCATTTTGTCAGCCTTCCGCCCCACCATTGTTCCTGCATGCCTGCAGTGAGAGTGAGGGTGGGGGGCGTGAGGAAGTCTTGACTTTTTGTTTGAAGGGGGGAGTTATTTTGATTGTCTTTACCTATCAGGTGTAAATTTCCAGGCACTCAGTTCATTTTGGGCCTGCTCCAGTTTGTCTTTAGTCTGTTCCAGTTCAGCCTTCATTTTGAGGAAAAACAAGTTGATGGCTGGATCCACCATGGACGACCGCAGCTGGGCCACACTCGGCTGCTGGACTTGCTTGAGGTACTGAATCTGGGTCTGCAGAGGGTGATAAATACATTTTAGTCACAGATAAATGAATATACATTTTCTCTCATTTAATTCAGCAGTCACTCAAAACATAAAACCGAAGACGATGATGGTGTTTGCAAAGAAATGACTATTTTTCTCACTCTTGTTTTGTTAAAGTATTCCAACGCTTCTACGGCACATTATGATCTAAAGGTGTCAGCATCAGGGCTAATGACATTGCAGCCAAATGAATTTTTATTTTCTATATATGTCATTGCAAATAATATTGCACCCAAGCTGTTCTTTGTGAGTTAAATTATGCAAAGGCTGATGTTCCAGTTCTAACAGAAAGATCATTTTCAACACAGCCAAGTTTTTTTTTCTCTCTCTCCGATTTGAAAATTCGGATCATCTTCACGATAAATTGAAACTGCATCCTAAATCTAAATAAATAAATAAATCTCTAAACAGTAATAAGCTCTGGCCTGGCAAAAGGAAAAGCTGCCTTCACATTAATTAGCTGGTGGCCCATTTTTGATAAACCTGAATAAATATAGCATGACATTTGTCCGGAGTGAAAAAAACAAACAAACAAACAAACAAACAAAACAAAAATAAGGCAGCCTGCACAACATATGTTTGCACCTATATTGTTGAGAATCAAGTTGATCAATATTTTAAATCGCCATTTACTACAGAAATATCCAGTGCCTTTCTCAACAAGCAGGCCTTGCATTCAAAAAGTAAAATGACTTTGATATTTCTTTAATCAGTCTTCTGTGAAAAGTTAATATTTTTAGTGACTCGATGCATCACAAATGAAATCATCAGCATCGATTCTTTGAAAAACACGATCAGCCATCACCCAAAGGGCAATCAAATTTAAATTAATTTCAAGCTGATACTTACTGTGCACTCTTGCATTTCCTGCTCCTTGGTGGCAAGTCGCATCACTAAGATGTTCTCCCTGCGTGCAGATTCCTGCTGCTGCTGCTTGAGCTTTTCCTCAGACTCTTTCAGTCCTGGCACATCATTGGCTACAAGAGGGGGGGGGAAAAATACATCATTAGGTTTTTTTTTCTTCCACTCATCAAAAATAATGATATAATGCGTAAAAAAACTAAACAAATGCACGTACAACAGAGCTCTGCATATTTTGCCTCCAAGACCTGGACATATGCATCGTGTTGCTTCCACCTGTACAATAACAAAGCATTTTTAATCATTAGTGAGAGGCTTTAAGAAAAGAAAAAGAAAAAAAACACCAGCTTGCATTGACAGTGATACCTTGCACAAAGCTCTTCTCTGGTCAAGGTCTTCATGTCAGATTCACTCAGGCGAACCTGTGAGGAATAAAATAAACAGACAGGTCAAATTATTTTGTACACATTTAAGAAACAATGGGATTTACAATGTATGTTATCTTTATAACACAACGAACAGAAATTAACCTTTTTGGGAAGAGGCTCCTCGTTGGTCATTGTGAGCTAGAGGTAAAGAAATGAGAGAAAACCGATCAGCAACCGCAGCTTCAAGTCACTGCATCATCTTCTCCGTTGCCAAGGGCCGGTTGCTGGCAACCCGCTACAATGTGACATGTTTGACAGACATGGCACTGTTTTAGCACACTCGGAGATACGTAATCGATATATGATGGTGCATCACTGTTCAATATTTCGATCATCTAAAAGTTAACATAGCCAGCTCCTAAACGCTGTTCGGCCAACTGTTCAATAGCGGCAGTTGTTAACAGCGACACACGGGGAATACGCTAACCAAGGTTAACTGCTGACTATAAGTCACATGTATCAACCCGTTGAACCTTAAACACTTTCAAGAACAACAGCAGTTTAACAATTAGGTCTACTGCAAAGGCCTTTTGGGTTATGTTTAATTATTGGATCCAGTTCGACTCCTTGTTATCACAAAATGGCGCTGAAGGAAATGACTCCCTCCCTTACGCTTCTTTTCCTGAAACTAGCGGGCTCTTGGCTGCGGCTGCCAGGCCTAACGCCATCAAAAAAAAAAACACTCACCAGGCCCGTTCCTTTCGATGTTCCCGGGAAACGCTCTGCTTTACTAGTTCTCCGTGGTCCAAGTATTAGAGATGCGTTAAGTTTCGCAAAAGAAATTTACAAGTTTCAGTCACGCTTCGGTGTCTGTACTTTCATCCTCAACGAGAGCTGAACAGAACAGAATGGCTCTCACGAGCTGCTGCTGGGTTGCACTCCGGCCGCTGCGGAGCAATACCAAAGAGGGACTATAAAAGAGGATGTCTCACTCCTCTCTAAAATGAATATCCTCTATTTCAGAGAGTTAAACTCCTACCTTGTAAAGATTTATTACACAGATGAAAATAACAACAACGTTTGGTTGCTGATATTAAGATGTATCTGTATACATATTCTTTACAAACTGGGTTGTACATTATATTTGTTAAAGCTTCTTCAGATTTAACTTTTTTTTTCTGGGTTATTAAGCATTCTAACTCTGAACAACGCGTTTGCTTAAACTGAACATTATAACAGAAATCCCACAGATAAAAAAAAATCACAATCCTTTACGTTTTCAGCAGCGTTCCCTGAGGACTTAACAATGTTACGTTTATTTTAGACTTCTTTCTTTCTAAATGCACATGTATTGCTTATAAATTAAATATCAGTCTTCCAAATTATTTTTTTTAAAGAAAAGCTTTAATAATTTATTTATTTATAAGTGATTCATCATACTTGTTATATACAATCTCTGATATAACTTGTGACGTAGAGAAGGAACTGTTCCATTTCACTTCTGCGTATTTCATTTTTCTTATATATGATTCTTGTTTGTTTACTGTAGCTCATAAATCCTTTCAAAATGTAAATACATTTAAAATTTCGACCTCTGCTCAGGTTTAGAACAACCAATAAAACCTCTAACACTCCCATGATACAACCCATTCAATCAAGGCTATAGAAAAACGACTCGATATTTATTTCAAAACGGTTGCAAATTTAAAATTGATTGGACGTAATAATAATAAAAACAATCTTTACTTTAGTTTATAGCTCGTAGTATGCTTCTCCTCCATGGTATTAGCTGTCCCCTGTGGAGGCTTATATAAGTCCTGCGTACCTCACGAACCCCCCTGTCCTATCTATAATGGTACGGTCCCCTGGACTGTCAACTTGAAGTTGCACATTTCAAGGGCAATTGCAATTATTCACCAATCTGCTGTGTGCTGCTAAAGAACCAGAGGAAACATGCTGTGTAGAGTTGGGAAAATACGCAGGTAAGATTGTCAGCTGCTTAGAAGTAGCAAGGATTAAGACGGTTTAAGCTGCAGAAAGAACGGGAGAGCTACTTCTTGCTAACGGAGTAAATGCTAACTTGTAACAGTTGCTTGTTGAGAGCTAACGGCTAGCTCATCAAGTTCTGGGCAAGAATTTCAACTCATTATGATGTTTTATGAAGAATATAAGAATGTTTCGCCTAATTTGTGTTTGTGCTGTACTGTTTCGGTGCAAATGTATACTATTTTGAATATTAATACAAAATAAATGGTACAACTGAAGCCACATGTTGTTTTAGCTGTTAGATATTTACCTAATATGACAGGGAAGATGGGTTACATGCATACACTCGTACTAATTATGCAATCTGTGGTTACTCTGTTTAATTTATGGTTAACAGAGTAAAATGTAAACCTCTGAGTGTGGGATTTTTTTTTCCCCAATTAAAATATTGAACCATGTGTCATTTTGCTTGTACATCTCATTTATCCTGATCTGTCATATTAATCCCAGGTAAATATAAGCGTCCATTTTTAAAGTGACTGCATTAAAGGTTTTATCTAAACATGTTCACTTCCCTCTGTTTCTTTCCAGGTGTGCTGCCAGCCTCAGCCAAAGCATAAATCTGATAGCTGCATCAAGGCAGAAGCACACACTCCCTGATCTGACCTACGACTATGGAGCCTTGGAGCCTCATATCAGTGCAGAGATTATGCAGCTTCACCACAGCAAGCATCACGCCACATATGTTAACAACCTTAATGTTACAGAGGAGAAATATCAAGAGGCTCTTGCAAAGGGTAAAGACAGTCACATGTATTAGTTTGATTGAAGTCTCTTCTGACATAGTTTTTTTTTTTTTATGCTTTGGATGGTTTGGGAATCTCTTTATCTCAATGTCTTATATTTTGACATTGATCCATCTGTGTGTGTGAATTATTTTAGGAGATGTGACTGCACAAGTTGCACTTCAGCCTGCTTTGAAGTTTAATGGAGGAGGTCACGTTAACCACACTATCTTTTGGACAAATCTCTCCCCAAATGGTGGAGGTGAGCCTCAAGGTGAGAAAAAAACAAACTATTCTGTTTTTAAAATTTTATTATACAGTTTTTATATTTTTCCAAAACAAACAAACAGAAGTGATCATTAAATGTGAAGCTATCAAGTCAGACTGTTTGTGGAAGAGTGATGATTAGAATGGTTGCATTTTTTTAAAGACATATCTGTCCTGAATTATCCAGGGAAACCACATCTACTAGTTCACAGCTTAGGGGGCAATCACAGCAGTTTTTGGCTAGCTTAGACACTTTTTAAATTGGGCCTGACCTTCCCTTTATCTAGTGCATGTCTTCTGGAGTCAGCCAAAGCGTTTCTGACAACTTGCAAACTATATACATCGTGCAGACAAACTGTTGAAACTTTAAAGGGAAAGTCTGCTGCAGTGAGTTTTTATCCCCCCAGGCTGTCGATCTGATGCCTTACAGTCCCTGTAGTCGGCCCCTGTACTATTAAACAAAATGTGCATATTTACTCTAAAAACTTGCCTTAATTTTGTTTAAATAAAATATATAACACATTTGTACACATGCTATTTTTTTACTTTCATTTCCTCTAACATTTATATATTTTATATTTGTATTATTGCTCAATGCAATTGCGCTGATCAATACACAAGGCAGGAAAATTCCTTGTTTGTGCACACAATCCTAAATATGAAGCCTATGGAGGTCACTCATTCCTAGCAGCTAATTTTTAGTCTGCAAGTTGGTAATACGCGTTTCTTTTTCCTGATGTTATGGCTGTAAAGTAAAACCAATCTGTTTGATGTTGTCCAGGGGAGCTAATGGAGGCCATCAAACGGGACTTTGGCTCCTTCCAGAAGTTAAAGGAGAAGATGGCGGCTGTTACCGTTGCAGTACAGGGCTCAGGCTGGGGATGGCTTGGTTATGACAAGGACAGCGGGCGACTTCGGATTGCTGCTTGTGCTAACCAGGATCCCCTGCAGGGGACAACAGGTTGGTTTGAATTGGCTTTCAAAAAATGGGACAGCCAATATCCACCTTTTGGGTATCGTTATGTAAACTTTGTTTATCCCTTAGGGCTCATCCCTCTCCTTGGCATTGATGTCTGGGAACATGCCTACTATCTCCAGTACAAGAACGTGCGCCCTGATTATGTGAAGGCTATCTGGAATGTGATCAACTGGGAGAATGTCCACGAGCGATTGCAGGTTGCCAAAAAGTAGAGGAATCACAGCACCTTGTATCAATATCTGGATCAAACGGTAGATGCAAATAATTGCCTCAAATAAACAGCCCTGACATTCAAACACTCGGTTTTAACTCAGAGATTGGTTGTAGCATTAATGGAAAAAGTAAATCCAATGTGTTTTGCTGTTTAAAACAATTCATCCTTTAAATAAGAAAAGACATGTTAAAATCAAAGCGAAAAGCCAAGACGTCTGCAAATACAAACCCCCAGACTTGTCGAAGCGCACAATAAATGGTCCTCATTGGACATAGAAGCTGTCTTTTGTTATTCACACCCATGTAAATGGTGCCTAGGGGTTGTATACTCAGAGGAACATCTTTGTCTAACACAAGGATCCTACAATGTAATGACTGTCCATGTTTTTGATGTAATATAATAAAGTAATATTTCAGTTGTAAAAGCTTGAAATGTGTTTCTGTATGGCTATTCTGAGGGCTGTTATTTCCTGGACATTTTAGTAGCTGATCCAGCATTTAAGTAAACAAATTGGAACGGATACTGAAATCTGAAGACAGGTAATCTTAACTTTATTCTGATTAATTATTCTGCTACATGAGTTTCATTTTTGTTTTGTTTTTTGTTTTTAGCCATCTTTGACTTTCCTGAAGCAGACTGGTTTACCTCTGTTAAGGGAAATCTGTCGAACTCAACGCCCCAGACAGACAGGCTGCCTTAATAAGATTAGCAAAGTAATTTCCTATGGTTTTTTTAGTTGTGCATTTTCCAATGTAAGAGCCACCAAAATTGGTTAATGTGTGTAAGTTTATAGACTTCTAGAGAACTTGCAGCATCCATAGCTCTTTTTACATAATTTTCCTCTTTAATCACCTGAGCTTTTTTAATGTGAATGGCTCCTGTTTCACGTTACCTCACTTCAGTCTCAATTATATTACATTAGAGTCAAGTTTTGGTAATCACGTAATTCTAGTTGGTAGACTTTCTAAGGAAGTCGAGCCGATTGCATGCGGTCAGTGACTTCATAAGTGGGAACAAGGAGAATATGCCTTCTAATTGGATTAAATCCTAAGAAGATCCAGTTCAGTATGAGCAGCATCTGCTGCTTCAAGTTAGTGGCGGAAGAGATTCAAAGATGCAAAAACATGTTTGTTTTTTGCAGAAGACATTTTTTTTTCCTTCTTCTGCTCTGGACTCAGATGCTACCTTGAGGCCAATAGTCTGTTTTTATTTTAAATTTCATTTTTAAAAAACATTTTCTATGCTTGATTTTTCCTTTTTATAATTTCAGTTAAATACTTGAACATTTATCATTAAATGCCACTTATAAGAAACTTGAGCTCTGAGAAGATAAATTTGAATTTAAAAATGTGAAATGGAGAAAATAAAAAGGCCTTATTTAGTGCACTTTTCCTTTTAGCCAGCAGACTGCAGTGTCTCCAAGCTCAAATTTACTACAACCAATGGCATTTAGAGGAGAAGCTCATAGCTAAAATGTTTAGTTAGAGCACATTACCTGCTATTAATTGTTCTTGTATCGTAATGTTCCACTTGATTTAAACTTTTAGGTGTTTAACAATATTATGGAAAATAAAATTCTGCATGAGTACAGCTGAGATTGTCTCTCAAGTCGTTATATTCAGTGAGTGGCTTGGTCCAAAGAAGCCTACAGTTGTTAATTAGAACTATAACTAAATCCTGAGCTAGGCGTTTTAGTTATCTTAGAAACAAGAATCAAAATGCCTAGTTTAGTTATATTTAACCAACTGATTTTGAACTGAAAAAAAAAACTTTTAGCAAATGTAATCAGCTAAACTTTAGTACTTCCAAATAAAAAATACTACTATGCCTAGAAAACAAAGGTAATAAAAGATCAGCTTTAGTAAACTGGACTATCTTCTTGGTGAAGCTTGTTTGTGCAAAATACAGAATTTTAACAAGACAAAAAATCTTCAACCACTGGAAAGAGAACTGGAAACATTTGGACAGATATCATTGTCAAGTCTTCATTTTCCCTGAGTTGCACAAACTTACTTGATACTTCTTCAAACACAGAACAACTCAGAGAATATGTGAAACACAAGCTCAGCTGCTGGTGCTGCTCAATCTCTGCGGTAAACCCAGGCATGCAATAATACCGGCTTGAGGGTTTGTTTTGCATTATTTTCTTCAGTCAATGCTTGAGTTCTAGGACTGCCCTTGCTAAGCGGGACGCACAAAATTTTATATACTGATTATTTGCCCATTTCTAGAAATGATACAACATATTTAATATAGCACCAACACAAACCTTTAAATCACAGGAACTTATTTGCTCTAAATTCCCATAAAAATATCCTTGACTGATCTTTAAGATCAGTGATTACAAGTTAATCTGCACACAGACGGCCTTTTGAGTCTTCAGAATATTAAAGCTTTTATGGAGGTTCTTTTTCAAATTTATTGTTCAAATGTGTGTCAGTATTCTCATATTTGGACAATCTTTTTTAACTAGATTTTAGGAAGCTTTTGAAATAAGATTAAAGATTCAGATGCACACATTAAACTCTTTAAACTGTCTTTTCAATCATCGGATGTATACTTACCGTACTTGAGTCTTTGAATAAGGAAATAGCCTAGATGTTGATTTCTCTTGGAGATAAGAATCTTTACATTCCTTTTCTCTTCCTGACTATAAATTTACTGCCTATCAATGCTTCATATGGAACTTGCCCTTGGTGTTGTGGTTGCCTATATGGGCTCCAACAAGCTTCCAGCCTCCAAAGGTACCCTGCAGTACCTCAGGGTAACCATGTCTGCACCGTCTCTCCTATACACAAGCTGCCATTGTCCTAAATGGACTAAAGTAGTGTCAGCATTGACGAAGTAAAAATTTCCAGTCTCTTTCGTCCACTGTTCCTGGCAGATAGGGTGCTGGAGAAAAATTTAGAACAACCATTTGGGTTTGAGCCCATATCTGAGTGCTCAACCAGGTGTTGAATGCCAGGAGCCAGACATTTCAGGGGCTGTGTGGCTCTGTAGGAAGCTCTCATACTCTGGTCTGTGGATGATTGATTCATCATGGCCAGTGAAAACACCATGCAGACAGATGCACATTCCCAAGAGTCAGAATAAAACAAAGGTGCGCACAATAAATTTAATAATTTCTCTTTTGAAGGTCTCCCTGTCATTTCAGAAATTCTGCCTCTATAAGAGAGGGAAAGACTGCTTTAGCAACAGGGTGTGACTGTATCTGTCTGTTAAATTATTTGCAGTTATGTAAGAGTTAGTCTATGCTCCAGTAAGTCCACAGACTTGGGACATCCTTTAGGCAGCGCGGTGGGATAAATCACTGCAAAGACTGGGGTCATTTGGGTTCATGTTGGATTGATTCAGGCTTGGAAAATCCACTCGGAAATCTCTGAGTTTTCTCTCTAAAAAATAAAAAGCTCGACCTATTGCACAACATGGTTCACACAGGGATTATCACTGCAAACATAAAAGCATTGTTACCCTAAATTGAACAATAGTTTTAATGTGTCATCCTGTGCTTGATATGTTTTTAACTTAACAGTAAAGGTATCTTGATCAAGTTTGTTTGGGAATAATTTCTTTCCACTTTTTCTCTGATTCCATAATCATATAATGCTGCTGCATATAGTGTAGCTTACTACTCATTAGGCAACTAAGACACTCTGCTGTGTGAAAAGGTTATCCTCCCAGAATCTGTCTCTCTTTTCTCCTGCTTAGCTGAGAGTCAGCACTTAGAAGATCTGTTTTGGCCGCCGTTTCAGGATGTCAGAGGAAAAGAGACGAGGAGGAAAGCTCGGGGAAACTGGATGATTTCCAGCAGCTAGTGCACCATAATACAATAACAGTCCTTCATGCACAGCAGACTGGATCTAATCATGGGAATGCTCTTCTTGGTCCAAAACTGATCCCACTTTAGGTGAGGCATCCGTCTTTCCTGAGGTGGTACTCTACACTAACACATTACAACCACAGATAGACATAATATATCATTTCAAGTTATTGGGAATGTTTGGTGACTCAAGCAGTTTCTCATCGCCTCTCATCATTTGAGCCAAGCTTTTGAAGCTAATTTTGCTGAAATAAAAAGTTAAAAACAATCGGTATGCCTATTTATGAGGCCAGGTGTGTGTGTTAACTCATACCTAGCACATGGAACAAAGATGCTTTTTAGATACTCACTTTGCTATGTTTTTTATTTATTTAAACAAGCAACTTAGTGCATATGTGTTTAGTTAGAATTTTAAAATATTTCAATATGAATTTCTGTTGAGTAAAACTTGCCAAGTTGAGAAATATTGAAGAATGAAGTGAAAGCTAAACAACAATCATCACATAAAAACTTAATCACTATGGATATTTACTAGAAAACACACTGTAAGACTGAAAAAAATCACTTATTTTGCAGAATATGTCTTGATAATTTCAATATTTTTTGTGTGTATTTCAGTTGAATAGCATGTTTTTTTAATATTCATATCAAATGGGTTGGAGGCTGGTATTTAGAATGTTACCTCATATTTCCATCTATATTTTCTGCTAATTGTTTTTCTCCTCTGACACAAGTAATAAACCAAAATACATTTTTTTACAATAGAAATGTTGTATGGGTATTGTAACAATAAAATAAAAAGATAAAATAAGTAATAATAATAATATAAAAACACTTATTCCTTAAAGAGGCATTAAAGTGTCTAATGGTAGGTGGGACAAAAGATCTTCTGTATCTCTCAGTTCTGCTTCTCAAAGAGTTCAAACTCGAACTATGGCTGCTTTCCTGAGCCACGATAGTGCTGTGCAAAATATGGCTCCCATTGCCCCTTGTGGACTTCATCATTGCCCTAGTCCTTTTCTCCATCAGTGCCTCCATGGGAACTACCTCCCTCCCCATCACTGCCACACACCTCCGGATGAACTTAAAAATATTAAGTCATACAGTTAATGAAACACAGAATTTATTCCATTCATACCTCAACTTTTGCTATTAAAGTAAAAGCTTCATTCTGTGAGTTCATTACTCACATATAATAATAATAGGAGTAAATATTGGCATTTCGATATCAGGCTCTCAATAAAAAAAGGTAGCAATGTATTTTAACATCCTTAAGCTGCAAACAGATCCTCTTACAGTCCCAGTAAACAATTATCAAAGAACTATGGATATTATTGTATTTCTTATTTTTTTAAATTGGTAAAAGACAAAGCAAAAGGTATAGCTACATTTTTTTTTCTTTCTTCAAACTGAAAAGTTTGTATTAAGTTACTGAAACCAAAAGAAAAAAAAATTTAATGGTTTGGTATTCAATGCACTAAGCTCTACATTTATGCTGCTAATATATGTTTAGGCTGCTCCACTCTATCTTTACTCTCACAATCAGTTTCTTTCTCATCATAGTAGCTTCATCTGGTCTGTTCCTGTTCGTTTATGACATCCTCTTGGATTG